AAAAAGAAACGTTTCGCCCCTCATCCAAGAGGCTTCGTCGGTCTGAGTATGAACAACATTCAGGAATTGTTTCTATAAGAACATTATCAAATATTTTACATAAACTGTAAGATCCACGAGGAAATGTAACCCAGGGTGAGTTCACCTCAGACAAACTAACAAACATAGCTGTAATGTGGAGGTAGTGACACTCACTGTTATTTAATGAGATATTTCTGCCTTATCAGCCAACATTAAAAGGTAAAGAAGACGGGCAAAAAAAAATAAAAATAATATCTAATAAACTTCAAATATGTACAGCAGTGGATATTTTCATGCCACGGTGACACAGAGCAAGAACTCAATTAAATTCAGTATGCAAGAGTGTAAATTTTACATTACACAACCTATTACTTAGTAATAAGTTTAGTTTTAACAAAGACTAAACTTGTACAATCAGAAGTTACAACATATATCTACATATAAAACACACAAAACACAACTAGCTTTAAGCATTAACCTTTAATTTAAATATTAAAGCATACAACGAAATTATGATAGAAAATAGAGGACTTACCTGCAGTTACCTTCACAATTTACATTTTTCCAAACGGTTTAGTTTTTGGAATGGAATAAATGGTTTTCCACCCTCTAAACGCTCAGGGTAACATGTGTCTGAATTTCATATTCTCCACTGATGTTTAACCTTTTCAGATTTTTTCACGAAATCTCTCCGACTGCAAAGCGTCCGTAAAGCAAATCCCTGATGGTCTGCAGCACCTGCAGGTAAGGGGCGTCTACCTTGGGGACACATTGAGGTCACCAATTGGTCAGTTGCTGACATGCCTACTTGTTACCCCATTGACAGGTGGCATAGAGGATCAGACTCGTGCATAAAAACAAACCCCAAAGCAAAACAAAAAACAAGAGCTGCCAGTTGAGGCGGTGCAGCGATAGTGGTGCCGTTCTAATGTTAATAAAAAGTTCTATGTTTATAAAAATAAATAAAATAAAAAGTATGGCCATGCGGCCTTCGCATCAAACCGACTCACCGGGAAATGTCTCGGTCCTCCCGGTTAGCCACTCCAGGCCTGCTTCCAAACAAAACACCTGTGAGCCGTTGTCACTTCCTGCAAGGCTACAAAAAGTATCAGCAGCCGAAGGAATGTAAAAGTTAAATACAAATGTCACATGTTCTGACTTAAGCCTGAGTGGCTGAAGGGTTTAAAACTGCAGCTAAATCTTAAATATACAACAACTCTAACAACCCAATAACAACTCTATAAACAGAATTATTCAATTCAATTCAATTCAATTCAAAAATACTTTATTAATCCCAGAGGGAAATTAAGTGTTGTCGTAGCTCATCATCCTGGTTTCATTCAAGAGTTGTTATAGATGCTGATAGCTGTGGGCAGGAAGGATCTCCTGCAGTGAAGCCGAAGAATCTGGCCACAGATACCGATCCGTCCACCCAGATCCAGCTTGCTTTCAGATCCGGCGGGCCTCTAGGTCCTTCTGGGCAGCAGGATTGGCCAAATGCCGGACAGAATTCCTCCCTGAGTGATGGTCACTCCTCCTAGCAATCTGCAGAGCTCCTCACGAGCAGAGTTTCTCACCAGCTCCAGGATCTTGGTGGTCAGGAACTCGAGCACCGCTGCCAGGTTGACAGGAATTTGTCCACGGCACCTCCTTTTCAACTCATGTGGGATTTAAGGCTGTAGATGGGATATTTGAGCTTTTGAGATGTTAAGCAGCTGCTCCTTGTTTAAAAAAAAAAACAAAAACAAAAAAACACCTTGTTGCCATGGTTACGCATCATAAATGTCCAAAAGTAAAAAGGTTTCAGTAAAAATCCTTCCAGCTGCACAGCATCTGATACCAGAGTAAATCATCATCATAAAAAAGTGATATACATCCAGAAAAAAGAGGAATTAAATTTATACAGAATTATACAGATGAACAAGCTTTTATAGAAACTTTCATTTATTATATACAGTTCAAAAGAATGGGACAAAAACATCAGGCAATATGATTACTTACACATTTGGTATTTAGTGGTTGGGTTTCATTCCTTCATGCTCAGAGAATTAACAAAGAATGTCTTGTTGCTGATTTATACAACACAAGGACAAGAAACATGTCTGTCAGATGAGATTATTGTTCTTTAAAGAGTGAACATTTGGGGGCCTGAAAAATAAAATTGGTCCCTTCAAGATTAACCTTTGGATTATTTACACACAAAGAGCAGGAAGTTTAATTCAGTTCAAATGATTTTTAATACATCTGGTAAAATTTGTCCTCTGGAACAAATCCAATACAATTAAAACTGAAGCAAACCATCGTTATGGCTTGCTCTGGGGGGGGGGGGGGGGGGGGGGGG